TCTACGTATGAGCCAAAAGTAATTTTGCATATACGTTTGCCCATTGTTAACATTTGCTATGCTTTTTCTATTCCTATATACTTATGTATGCATAGGAAAATATACTTTTATAATTTGTGAATTATTTTTTATTAATTTTGAGTAAGTAGATGACAAATCTTTAAAACTAGTTCTCTAACCAACTAACTAGTTATTTGGGTACTTCCCGAATGAACTGTACTCAAGTAGTTAATTTTAGTCAAGAGTCTAGCATTTTTCCAGTACTATTTTTTCTTTGTTCTCCATTTTCCAATGATTTGAATAGATACCCTGTTCTATGTCAATTTTTATTCTAATAAAAACTCAAATAAATTGTCAGCAATTTTTTTTTTTTGAGACAGGGTCTCACTCTGTCACCCAGGCTAGAGAGCAGTGATGTCATCATAGCTCACTGCAACCTCAAACTCCTGGGCGATCTTCCTGCCTCAGCCTCCCGAGTAGCTGGGACTACAGGTGTGTGACAGCACGTCCAGCTAATTTTTCTAGTTTTCGTAGGGACGTGTTCTCGCTCTTGCTCAGGCTGGTCTCGAACTGTCAGTAACTACTGACTTAAAAAATCAAACATTATCTGTTTGCTCCCTCCTTAGTAAGTTGCAAAATTTATCATGCTTTTCCTTCTTCCTTTTTCTCTCTTTGTTCCTTTACTTATTTTGTTTTTGATGAATTAAATTGCAATTTTAGATCCAGGTTAGCATTAATTTTGACCTAATGTATCTATCTAATTTTTCAACAATTAGCTTAGATGTTTGTATTAAGCTTTAGAATCATAACAACCATTTTATTGTTCATTAGCCATGATTTTATAACATTATCCCTTTTCTGAGTTTTTCTTTTGATTTGTCCTTCAGTGCACTTCAGTAATTATTTATTGATTTATTTTTTTTAGTCCTTTTGACATGTAGTCTTTGATAGGTTCCCTGCTTTCTCATGTGACAAGAGTTTCTAGGCAATCTTTTACATTTCTTGCCCCAGACTTGGAATTGGTTATTTCTCCAGGAAACTGGACATCAGCAGTTTAGAAAGTTTCTCAGGTGATTCTTACGTGTAACTTGGAGCGAGAATAATTGCTATTGTACCTCTCTCAATTTTATGGTTAACTCCAGAATATTTCCAAAATTTTTAAGGTAAATTATCTACTTTCTCAAATTAAATAACTCATCAGTTTGCTGTATATTTGTTCTTAATTTTACACTACTTTTCTTCTTAATAAATTGCAAGATTAGTACTCTAACATGAAGAACAACTAGATTTCAAAAACAGGAAAACTCTCCAATTGCAATCAACTGTTACATTATCATCCTTCCCTTTTTTTAAAAAAACTTTTTGAGGTAATAAAATGAGATCCATATAAGCTTTGTCCCAGCTTTTGAATACCTATCTTATGATAACTCCTTCACTGCATGTCAGAAAATAATGAGCTATGCTACATAAATTTAACAGATAACTGGCAATGAATACTTCTGCAAAACCTATATATAAATACCACTATAACAATAAAAATGGAAAAGAAGAGTTTCCTGAAAAACCAAATGACATTACATAATGTAAAACAGGCATCTTAAATTTCAA